TCTCTCTTTCTTCTTTTTTTTCTTATATAGTTTAGGATAGAGATTCATTCTTGGTCGTCTACAATTCTCTATTTTAATGGGATATTAAAATGACCATAATATTTGTCTCCGTATTTGCCAGTTTTCTATTCGAGGGGGAAGAAGAGCCAGTTCTGTCCCAGCCAGAACCTTATAGACGTCATCCTGATCAAAGGTGCACCATCCACTTGGTACTAACACTCAACTTGGACCAACAATGCTTCTAAGATTTCTTCCATAATGAGTCAATCAAATAAATCAAGAGCAAATTCAACTTGCAACACTGCCTGACTAGTGTTCCACAATATTTATGTTACATTAACAAACAAATTGAGAAGTAACAGCAATGTGGCCTAGTTTTCTATTGGTATTAAGTCAATTGAAGCCATCAACAAGAATAACAACCAATACAAGAGAAGTTTTCTGACCTTCGTTTGAATGCAGTTACCTCATACTGGAAACCTGCCTAGCTTCGATATCCTGTAGTCTAAGAGTCACAGCTCTTTTATGGGCTTCAAGACCCTCAACTTCAGCCATGGTTGCCACATATGGGCCAAGATTTCTAAGACCTTCCTCTGTCAAAGATTGTACTGTCATGTACTTGAGGAAAGAATCCAGAGACACTCCACCATACATCCTTGCATACCCATATGTTGGAAGGACATGGTTTGTTCCGCTTGCATAGTCCCCTACACTTTCTGGTGTCCACTGCCCCAAGAATACAGAACCTGCAGTGCCAATGAATCACATACAAATCCACGATGAACCTTTCATAAAGAAAATGATATATATGAAAAATTAAGCTCCACATGTTTCTGGTATGTCAACTGATTGGCTACACTGCTGGTGTGCTATAAAATAAATAAATAAAACTACTGGTGTGTTGGTGATATTGCAACAAACTCCATGCTACAAGTCAAAACAATATAAAAATAGTAATGATTGAAAAAATTTACCTGCATTCTCGATCAAACCTTCCCATTTTTCAGCATCCTTCACATTGATTATCAGATGCTCAGGAGCATATAAATTTGAGAAGGAGATTGCCTGAAACACCAAATGACACATGAAGTTTGGGAAATAGAATATGAAGTTTCATCATTAATGTACCATAAGCCGTGAAATCACATTTTCGAAAAAGAGATTAATATAGGAGCATATTAGCATGGATATCCAAGCCACTGAAAGATCAACACAAATGTTATACCTCTGATAATACAGAACTTTTAAAAGAAACTCATAACTGTCAGCCAGCTGGAATGGCAAAGCTAACAGATAGTAGTATTGTAAAACTTCAGTCCAAAATAAGCTTGTAAGTTGTAACCCAAACCTCTATTTAATGTTAACATTACTACATGAAGCCTAGCATCCACACAAATAGTGCAACTTCACATTATTCAACAGATGAGAAGCAAGATACAAAAATGAAACTAACCTCCACCATATCACGAGCAAATACAGTGAAACTGTGGCTAAGTGCTTTTGAAGCAAATTGTCCCCTTGGAAGGCTGTCGCACTGCTTATTAACTTCTTCTTCAATAGCTTTTATATCCACACCATGACCAGCTATTACAAGAACAACCTGACTATCAGGACCGTGCTCAGCCTGAAACATGTAATTTATATTTAAGAAATTATCTGAAAAATAACAAAAAAAAAGGAAAACAAAGTTGGAAACAGAACAGAACCAGACTAATTTGTTTCAGCCAGTCAAAAATGAAGGGAAAAAGAAAAGGGCAAAACTCTTAAGATTTTACAATGCAGGTGGTAAAATGAGAAACTAAGTAAGCAGTTTAAGCCAAGCAAACACCTGAGAAAGCAAATCTGCAGCTACATGGACAGGACTGGCATGTTTGTCAGCAATGACTAAAACCTCTGAAGGTCCAGCAGGCATGTCAATTGAAATCATAGCTTCACTATTCTGAGAGGATATAGTAACACAGAAAAGTGACTCAAATGAAGAAGGAGCAAGTGCATTTTCTCATTCTTTTCTTTTATTGAATTAAAATGCAGTTAAGTGAAAAGGTTCTAAGAGTAAGAAAAGTATATTTACTTGGAGAATCATTTTTGCTGCAGTTACATACTGATTTCCAGGTCCAAAAATCTTCTCAACCTAAATGATGACATGGATCAGATACAGAATTACAGAGCTTTTTATCAGTCACTATAATTTCATTTTTCAGCATTATGTTGCAAACTCTGCCAGCATAAGATTAAAGGCTTATTTTCAACATCTGTCAGACACTAATATTCTGCAAACTACTCATACTAAATTGCCACTAATCAATTGACAATTTGAAAGATATAGAGAGGGCCATAAAATTGAGCTACAACTGATCCACAAAGACATTCAATCCACCGAAAAAAAATTCAGTCTTCAATCCTTACAATAAAGATTTTCATCACTTCCACAGGATTGAAGCAGTACTAACCATAATTAAAAGGAGGATTCTGACCAGTTGGCATGGTATCAGATAAATAAAACAGTAAAACACAGTTCAGTCAAATAAAAACCCAACTTACCAAACTTTATTATCAAAGAATCTATCAAATATAATCCAAATAGAATTAAGTTAAGTTTCTAATTGATAGACTAATGACGAAAAAGACAAATAAAATCAATAGTTGGTTGACAAAAATAATAGTCATGTCTTTATCAGTGTTATGTATCAACGAGAAGGAGTCGACTTGACGAGAGACTAATACCTTTGGGCAAGATTCTGTACCCCAGGCCATTGCAGATATGGCCTACAAACATTCAATTAAAAATAAAAGAAGGTATTCGATTAGTCAAAATAACTAAAAAATATAACTTTTAATAACAGTATAAAGATTAGGCCTGAGACCAAAAAAAAATCAATCTAAAATGTGAAATATATGCTTAAGACCTGAGCTCCTCCGGCTTTAAGAATGTGAGTCACACCAGCCTTCTTGGCACAATACAGCACCTCCTGCAGGAAAATTCCAATTAGCTTGAAGTAAGAAATATATCCAGAGATTTTGACATGCATTGGCAAAAATTACCTTACATATGCTGCCATCCTGACTTGGGGGAGTAGCTAAAAGAACAGTTTTGCACCCAGCAATCTGTGCTGGCTGATGCACAAAGTAAACTAAGTGTCAAACTGGTTTATCCAGAACAATGATTAAAAATAAAAATAAAACAAACTCCCAGAAAGAATCAATACAATGCATCTGATCCACCTACCACAGAAAGCATCAGAGCTGTTGAAGGCAAAACAGCAGTTCCCCCAGGTACATAAAGACCAACAGAACCAATACTCCTCGCCATCCTTTTGCATTTAACCCCCTGATCCACTCAGACTTCATGGTATCAAATGTTCATGCAAACAAAAGTTAAAGGCAGTAGAGAGTTATAATGCACTAATGCTGACTTACTTTCATGTTCTCAACACTTTTCTCAGCTGATTTTTGAGCAAGATGAAATGCATATATGTTGTCATAGGCCACATCAAATGCCTCTTTAACAGCTGCATCAAGCTGAAATAAGCACTTGTTAGAGTCTAACAAGAATTATTAAAAAAGAAAAGGATTTCAGAACATCATGTTTAGAGAAATCATGTTAAACAGAAATACCTCAGGGTCAGGAAGCTCGGCGACATTTTCAACAACTTTGTCCAGTTTAACTTTATCAAATTTTTCAGTATAACTGCAAAAGAAAGATGTTTACAGATGAAAATGCATAACCTTATGACAAAATGTTCTTCTGATATGATCTGTAGAACATATTTATTAGCATCACATAACCTAGAGCCCATAATCCGAGCCATACACTAATGAAACCATCAGTTACGGATGTATAGGAAAGAATATTACTAAAAAAACACAGTTGAATTACTCTATCCAAATCTATCTGGATGTCTAAAACCAAATCATCAACCAAACAAAACCACATGAAACAAATGAGCTAAAGAATGAAAGTAGCACCGACTCTTTGACTGCAGCATCGCCTCTTACACGAACAGCATCAATTATCGGACTCACTATTCCGAATATAGAAGAAAAATCTATCCTGGGACGAGCCTTGAGGCTTTCTACCTCGGCACGACTAAGTTCTGATAACTTATAAGACTTCATTGCACACCTTATTCTGTTGAAACTCAATCCTGAAACAGCATTCAATGCAATTACAGTATAAGGATTTATTTCGAAATGCAAGACAGATTCAGAATTCAAAGGCAGTACCTTTGGCAAAGGAAAGAGATCGAGGATAATTAAAATTGTGAACGCCGGCGAAGCGAAAAGGTGGGGTCTGCAAGGGTTTAATAGAAAGGTTGGTCTGGTTAAAGCTCAGAAGCTGAGTATCCATCACGACCTTCCAAAGTCAAATCAATTCATCAATGTGAAATTATGGTTATCATCGGCGATTACTAGAGGCAGAATGTCAACGATGGGAGGAGGACATGAATGTCGTTACCTTGGTGGTGGTGGTAGACGGCGGCCGACGGCTAGGGCAAATCGAGTCAATACTGTGCTGCCGCTGTTGTTTTCCTGCTGTGGCTGGTGCCTGGCTGCCTGCCGCTTCTCTAGCCCACTGACTGAAGTATTTTATCTTTATTATTATTCTTTTAACTTGTTGCTTGTTGTTAGACCCCAAAGTTTAATTTATTAGCATTTTAACCCCTCTTGATTATTCTATGAATACGATTAGAAGGACTTCTTTCTTTTTTTCCTTCCAGTTCAGGCCAAATAACCAAAACCACTCTGTGTACCTTGAAAAAAATATAAACGCTTCAGGACTTTTCATGGCTCACTTTCTTCCTTTCCTTTCTGTGATAATAAATCGAGATAAACAAGGACAGAGTAAGGGCACTCAATCATTGAAACAAATGTATGTATTCATTGTATATTAGTTACAAATCATTGTATACAATATATGA